TTTTTTAAGATTGTAATGAAGAATTCAGGGTTGATATATAAACAGTTTCAAAGACACAGTGTAATTGATATATCAAATTTTGCATTTCCTTGAACTCAGCAGCTGCTGCTGTGGATTTTTAGACTGTACAGAAGTAATTTTATTTATTTTTTTTCCCCCTTTTCCTTCCCTCACTGCTGGTCCTACGCTACCCACCCTGCTCCTTGTCCTTCCTGCTCAGCTCCTGTTACATTGTGTGTACTAGTGCTGATAATTGCTACTTGTGGAAAAAGGGGATGTGATAAAAGAAACTTAGTCTGTACATGGAAAAAAGTAGTGGATGTTTTCTGGGCTTCAATTTAATCCTTTCACACCACACCTTGCAAAATCCAGAAATTAAACAGGTAACCAAGAATTACCTTAGACCATGTTTGTATCCTGGCATGTTCTGAGTAGCTTTTAGTGTCAGATTTACCAGACAGGGTGATTCTCTTTTGACTTCTCAAGTCATTAGGGGACATCCAGTGTGTTTTAAAGTATGATAGTAAGGAATTGCCTGGATTGTGTGGATCTTCAGGTGTCTTTGTGGGCATCTGTTACGCATCCTGACTGCTCTGTTGTGCCATGCTGGATGGACAAGACCAGTTGGAAGATCAAATGAGTACAACTGTTAGTTTCATTACCAGGCCTGTCAATTGCTTTCTTTTATCACACTGCTAATTAACATGACCATATGTAAAAGAATTTAAATGAGAAAGGATTGTGCACTGGAAACTTAAACAGTGTGGCTTCCAAAATGAATTTTAGTTGTAATTTCCTTCAAAAAACCAATGCTGGATATTTTGACTTTTCCATGTGTAAGTAGCTGTATAAGGAATCTGTTTTCAGAGAAGGGGTTTTAATAGCAAGTATTTTTGTTCAGCTTTTTCTAGATATGTTTATATAACTTTGTTATCAACCTGCTTACTAATTGGCTTGATCTACATTTGTAGACAGATCTCAGTGTACTTTCTTCTTGCAGCTTGTGATTGCTGTTGCATCAATCTGTTCTGAGAGCTGGAAAAATAATACCCCTGTTTCCTCTAACATGCTTCAAATGAAGCAATGCTCTAGACAGACTCCTTGGAGCCTGGTGCAAGTGTGTCTGTGTCACTGTGCTGTGCAGTCTGGCAGTAAATCTCTTATTCTTAAAGCTGCTGTGTCAAAATCAGGTTTCAGTATAAACAAACAGAAGCTTGATCCATTTTATAGTTTTAGAATTAAATCTCATGGTAATCTGGTTTAACCCAAATTTGGGTGGAACTTGTTGATTTCAATTGTGCTTTTGTTCTGAGATTTTGGGATTGATGAATCAAAAAAAAAAAAATTACAGCAGGTAAGTTTGCTTGCAACTTTGTGGATTAAAAACTCACAGTTCTTTATCCACCTTGTCATTCCTGTGCACGTGATCTCAAATACAAATGCAGAAATACTGGAGATATTAATTTGTTGGTCTTAATCTTGTTGATTATATCTCATTCTGAGAAGAATGGCTTTATCTAGAAAATCATGTTCTCTTTCTTTTTTCTTTTTTTTTCTGGAAATGCTGCCATATTTGATGGTTTCTGGTTTCTTGTAACATCTATTTGAGTCTGGTTACTTATTTTTTGCCTGTCTTTGATCTCTTTAGCAGGTGGTGCAATCTCAGAATTGTTATGAAGACACTCTTCTCTATCTTCCTGTATTCTTTCCTGTGTTGGCACCATAACGTGGAAAATAGATGAAATGCTCAGTCAGAGTGGACTGACTAACACAACAGACTGATTGTTCACGGATTCAGGGAGTGACTTTTGGAAGAAATGAATATGGAAGAGGAAAAGGCCTTCATTCCTCCTTAACTGCCTCTTCATGGAACAGTGTAAGATGCTGACTCTCAGGTCATGCAATTTGCAAAGAGACTAACTGGACTGCCTTTGTGGTGACATCTGTATTTCTAAAGTGAGCTGGTACCCAACACTCTGCCACTCCAGAGCTTATCAACCATTGTCTTTTAAGTATTTGATTTTTTTTTTTTGTTCCTGGATTGAA